TGGGAGTCAAATGAAGGAGAAAGTGTTGGAAGTTTGAGGAAGAAAAAAAGTGTGAACTTGCTGTCTAGGGGAGTGGAGGGGGCAGTGCTGAGGGCCCAGGTGGAGACCATGATGATGAATGTACAGTGAGAGCAGTGTGTGTGTGTGTGTGTGTGTGTGTGTTCAGCCTCATTCAGCAGCTAGCCTGTGTGTAACCATCACGTGGGCAGATAGTAGTCATGAAGTGCCAAACAAGTAGAGCAAAACCAACAGGGTGAAGCAGAATTTAAAATAATTGGCCACACAATTTTAAATGGGCCATGGTGAAAGAAAGAATTTGAAGAGGGCAAGATGGAAAACCAGTGCTTTGAAGTTCCTAGTGGGCTCCCAGGACTGTGGCCATTGGGTTTCTGAAGAGTGAAAAGATTGGGGGTGATGCCTCATAGATGGGGTTGCAACATTCTGGGAGTGGGGGTTATAGTTAATGTTGACAAGGTCTACAGTCTGACCGTGACAGTGAGTGAGTGGGGCAGGGCAGGGGGCACCCTTATTGGAAAAGAGGAACTCAAGAAACCGAGGGGCCAAGGTGTTGGATCATCTATATGCTTGTTGAAATCACCAAGAATTTGACAGGCATTGTATGGGAGAGAGCGACAATGGAGGTAGGAGATGGTGACTATAACAGTAAGGGCATGCGCTTCAAAACCAGAGGGTTTCTGGATTGAAGAATGCCCCGGGGACAATGGTCCCGGGGCAGCGGTGAGGAACAAAGGGCTACTGGCCCGGGCCTGTAGGAAGAAGCGAGGTAACTACTTAGGAAGGTTGCCAACAAAGCTGTGTGCTCAGTGGATAGTCCCGTTTCCATTTGTACAGGGCAGCCACGGGAGCATAAGAAAGAAGGGGTGTTGGACACAGAGAGGATTGTGCTGATGGTCCACCTTGTATTCATGCCATCATTATGGGAAGCGTTTTAAGGATTAAGAGGGGAGCAATGAGAAAACTCTGAGGATGTGCACAGCCTGATGGAAATAAGAATGGGAGGAGTGAGGGGGCCTCCAGGTTAGGGAAGTATGTCTGTGTGCCTGGGTATATGTAGCTGTACGTGTGGGTATGTGTGCTTGTGCTGACGTAAGTGGGAATAAAGGACATAGTGAGATGAGACCTGGTGACCTCCAGTAGACGGTGGCCCGAGGTCATATGGCCTGGTGCAGGGAGGTGCAGGTTCCCAGACTCATCCTTATCCCTGTCCATGTGAACGAAGAAGTCTGGGCAAACGCTCTGCAACTTGAGGGTCCTCATCTGCAAAACCTCAATGGGTAGAAGATGGGGAAGCAAGGTACTGGTGTGGGGCCCATTCCTGCCCACGGAAGTAACACTCCATGCTTGTCTGGTTCTTGAACTCCCAGCCAGCTAAGAAGAGTAACAGTTAGCATTTCTTCTGTGCTTGCTCTGGGCGATATTCCATGCATAGCTCTTCACACGAATGCTAAAAACCTCATCACAGCTTCCGGAGGTGAGGGCTTGTTCTTACCTTACTACCCAGTGGAGAGCTGCACTTGAGAGATGTGCAGGGCTTTGCTCGGCGTCACCCAGCTGCGCAGTGACAGAGACAAAGCTTGAACTTACTTCAAGTACCAAATTTCAGGCTGACACCGAGACTGTCAACCACCACTACTTTCTGAGCCCTTGAAACCATCTCCAGAGGAAGTGTGGTCTCTGTTCACACACGGGGTTGTGCTGGCTTAGACCATGAGGCCACCTGGGGGAAGAACTCAACTCACTCTCCATTGTCCCACCGACAGCCGGGCCAAGGCCATGTAACACACACACACACACACACACACACAC